AATGCGTCACACCAGGTGGCGGCAGCACTCTCCCACAGGGAATCTTTATCGATAATTATAAACGTTTATGGAAAAGGGAAAGAGCTCTCAGCAGCTGTAGCTCTCTGTGTAGAATGCCGCAGATAGAAAGTCAGATTGCTTTTGGGATAATAATAGAGAGAATATTCATCTACGACAGGCAACAAACTAGTTTCATGTGGTCCAGTGTAAAGTCTCGTTACAGGTGTAAATAGATGTGTCTGTGTGTACGTGTGTGTGTGTGTGTGTGTATGTGTGTTTGACTTGCCGTTACCGATGTTGTTTTGGGTCCTGTTCCTTATTATTGCAATTATTGTTGCTGCTGCTGCTGTTGCTGTTGTGTGACTTGGGGCGTGGCATGGAGCAGAATGTAAACACAACCACAAATTAAAATATGTTTGCTTATGCAATATGCAGTGCACACTGTAACCGAACGGTAAACTACTCTGCACAGCCGATGCCAGAGTGCTGTGTGCCGCCGTCCCAACGGCATAAATTAAAACTTTGCAACATTCTTTGCACCGAGCGAAAGTTTTCCGAGCCGAAAGCTAATTATGCATAAAAGCCGTGAACCACAGCACGGGTTTTTATTTACCTTATGGTCTGCTGCGACTGCGGCTGCTGCTGCCTATCCTGAGAACCTGGCAGCGGGATATTATGACAGCTGCCCTGCCACGCCACAGCCGGACAAACTGACGGACTGACTGACAGCCTGCGGTGGGCGGGAAGGGAGGGAAGTGATGCGGCTGTCGGCAGCGGAAATTGAACGCCTCGCATTGCGTGCCCGTCACACATAAATCAGCTAACAGAGCAGCCTTGCAGGCCATTGGCCAACAAATGGATTAGTGCCACGTAAGTCGCGGCTTCGACTGGCGCTAATCGCAGCACAAAAACACCCAGTCAGGAAGTTCAGCTGCATGGCCCTGCCCTGCGTATTGGCACCAAGCACCAAAGGAGTTGAGCGACAAATTTGAGAGCAGATTATCAGAGATTAAATGAACCCATTGAGAGGGGCAGAGAGTGGTCAAAAGCCTGTAAAGTGGAGGTGATTTTCACACAAATGACTTAAGTGGGCAACTTATACGGGGGGAGAAAGACAAGGTATTCCTGCATCATCAATCGGCAAAGTGTTGCCAGTGGACTCATCATAATTCTCACCAGACTTATGGCCATCGAGAGGAGCAACCACAGAGATACTGTGCTCTGCTAGTCGCTGATTTATGTGACACACATTAGGAGGATCTCCGGCATGGCCGAGTGCAAATTGAAAGCGTCTAGGCCTAACTACAACATATGATCGCATTTTATTACATTTTAAAATTAACAATTTCAGTTGCCCGGAGCGGAATTCCAGTGGTTCCCCCTGGTTCCCCCGGTTCTCTGGTTCCATGTTAATGAAACTTTTGCGCCCCCGGCCAGCAGAAATTACTCAAAAATGGCGCACAAATTGCAGGCAAACAGGGCGCGCATAAATTAATCGAGGCCAGGACTAGGCAGTGCTCTGCAGACTCTGACTCTGACTAGCGAAATTAAAACATTAATCTGCTGGCCGAACGCTGGCGCAATAATTAATGCTGGCTTAAATTTATTAATTTATTTATAAAGCCAAAAAGGGCAACGCCACAAAAAGAGGTGCGAATCGGAGTCCGAGTCCGAGATGGGAATGGGAATGGAAACAGAAGTACCACAATAAAAACTAAAGAGCCAAGATGGCAGCATGCTGCACCACTCCGGGATGAGGCAGCGTCTTTAGCTCTGTCTCTACCGTCTCTGTTTCCCAGCTCTTTTCGCCTATTCAACTGAACTCGACTCGAGTCGACTCGACTCTGCTGATCTGTGGGCACTTTTTTAAAAATGTCAGTACGCCCTCTAGGGACAGATTAGCGATTAATCTATGGGGCATGGTCACATGCATCTCCTTCGGACACCGCCGCCTGCCTGCCTGCCTGGGCCAAGCCACAACTCGTGGAACGAGGTAACCGATTAAAAAAAATCTCCACATAAAGGACTGAGCACTTAATCAAAGAGGATTTAGAGAGGAATAGGGCAGCGGCAAGAGCATCGTACTGGGCACTGAGTACTGGGGCAAAAAGCCAAGGCAACCCAGGGCCAGGACCGAAAGCGTTGACGCGGCGCTTTGTTTCTAGCCGCACACCCTGGCAACCATCTGATGTGGCATATCAGCACTTCCAGTCTGTTCAAAATATGTATACCTGATAGCTATCAGGTAATTATAGTGCAAATTCCCGCTGGCAGAGCGACAGATGCTCGATAGGGCAGCCAGCAGGTAGTTGAAGGTGTTTGTCTTTGGCTCTAGGGGTAGTTCCAGGCACATTCCCATATAGCCATATATAACATGGTCTGACTATTGATTTTTCTCAGTTGAAACTCAGCCATTTGGCGGTGTGAAGTGCCAGTGCGGACAGGACTCTCGCAGTAACTCGGAGTAAGTAATCGTATTCCCAGAGAGGATATCTGCTAGTCGTTTATTGGCCAGCTGACGATGTTCTTACTTGGATTTTAACTACATATTACAAGCATTTTTATTTCGCTAAGCGTTGCTCATAGTTTTTGGTGCGCTTTTTCATTTGTGCTCCTCCTCGGACTAGTCTCGAGGTCGGTCCCCACCGCCATCGCCACCGCCTCATAACAGACCTTAAATAGTGGCAAAGACATTTCACAGACGCTGCTGCCGCTCGCTCTTGGCCTTCGCTGCATTTGTCAATTTACTACGAGTCGAAAGGGGCGTGGCCGCGCATAAAAGTGATATATGTGAGCGCTGAGTTGGCAATTTTCGTATGAATTGGCCAAGTGGCTGCTGCTGTTCGCTTTATGAATTTCTTTATGGCCAACCTATAAAATATTGTGATTGTGCAGCATGGGGCACAGCATAGTGCCAGCATGTGAAGGAGCGACCCCAGAGAGCAGTTGAAATTAAATGCTCGTTGCTTGATTTGTTTTGCGCCCCACACCCAAGTGGATTTTCAATGCCAGCCCCAACCCCCACCAAAGAGGCTGTCCAGTGGGGACCCACGTTCAAGTCCATTCCACTCGACTATGTGCTGGCCCGCAATTACGGCAGAAAGCCGCAAAAGCTGTCCGAAAACATTTTTTGACTTTGCAGCAGCACATTTTTGGCATTTCCATGTAATCCTTTTGTGTGCTAATTGGAGCATGCCAGTACCGTAAATACTCCCCCCACTCGACACATTCAGCAGGGCACTGAAATCGGCTTAGCACTGCCACTTGACAGAGTGCATACCAAAATGTGAATACTAATATTAAATGCACCAATTTACTGGGATTTACAACTCGTGGTTGCACTGCATATCAGTTCAGGCCACGTTGATGGCATTTGGCTCTGTTTCACAGTTTTAGCTCAATCAAAATCTCTTCCGTGGTTGTTTCGCCAAAGCCATGGGGATTTATTGGAGCTTTTGCTCTATGGATGCTGATTTTTAGTTCAGAGAGTGCTGCTGATGCATTAGAGCTAGTCTTTAGTCTGCGGCTAGGCCTAATGATGGCATCTCCCACTCACAAAAGGTGTAAAGCGTCAATGCCAAGCAGATAGCGCTTAGTTCTGGCCCCTCTGGGTCCCCACGCTCTTGTCAAATCATTCACATCGCCGCTCCACTTTGTTTTTATATCCATCTGACTTGTTTTTCATATAAACAGAGTTGAATGTTTACTTGCGGTATTGTATTTGCCAAACACGTGTTCAAATGATGCGACTGCGGTTTTATCCGCTTCTAATTTCTGTGGCGTGCTCTCGCTGTTCGCTGCTCTTGAAAATCGATTTCTATTTGTGTTCATTGTTTACTTAAATGATCGTGACAGAAGCTGCTAAATATTATATGAGAGATCCCATGAGAGATGTATCTATCAGATAAGATAACAACGATTTGCCGTGTGGAAACATTTCACAGATTCAAGCCCATCTAACTATCTATCTATCTATCTATCTACATATGTGCGAGATGTGGTGGCATCTTGCCTCAGAGCTGCTGTGGAATAAGTCAGTGATTATCAGTTTGCTTGTCGAAGCAGCGGCTGCCGCCTTATCAGGGAAGACTAAAGTACATGTTACGAGTGTCTAATAGCAGACTTGGACCCGTCAGTTGCTCCCCCCATCATTGATTGTGAGGCACTGAGGCTGTCAACACCGTAGTTCAGTAGTATACAAAATTATTGTGTAATAGCCGGACAAGCCCCTAAAGAATTGTGGAGCATCTACACAATAATTTCATCGGCATAGCAGTGGAAAGAAAGACAGACGCCAGAGAGAGAGAGAGAGAGAGGTGAGTGGTTATATATAAAGCCAAAGGAATGCTCATGCAATGCATCCCACTGCAAATCTTTGCCATCTCGGCAACCCCTTTTTGCTGATCATGATTTTTGGCTGTGGCACTGTATGGCCAGGCCAGATCGATCATGCTGCGATCGCATTATAATGCAGAGAGCGTGTGTTTGAGGCCATTGATTGGCCAGCCAATTTGCATATATAATTTATTTGCAATTGTTGTGACATTTTGCCAGCCACCAGCCAGCCAGCCAGCCGGCTGATGATTGCGCAAAGAGACAGACTCCGCCAGACAGGTTGCCGTTGGCCGTGGGAACTTGTTATGTGTATGGCGACAAATCTCAGTCTCCAACTCTCTTTCTCTCTCTCTCTTGCTCTCTCTCTCTCTCCGTGCTTCTTTGTCTCTCTCCGCTGGTCTCTCTGGGCAACTTTCACTGGCAGTTGTGCTGTGGCAGTGTTTCCTTAATTAAGCCATCTTAATGGTTAACTGGGACTCAGGGTTTTTGGGCCCGCTATCTGCCAGCAGACAATGGCTTAATCTGCCAGCTAGATCCGAGTATCTGGCCTGGCCTGGTCTGGGTCTGGCCTGGTCCCGGGGCGCACCTTCCCCCAATTAATGAAGCAACAGACTTCATTTACCTACTTAAAGAGTAAAAGTTTGGCCCCAGCCTCTTGGCCTTTTCGCTGACAATTGGCAATGGAGCTAAAGTTGGTACTGAAGCTGCTGGCTGATGCTGCTGAAGCTGCCGCTGAAGCTGAAGCTGGAGACGAGGCAGAGATTACTCCTATTCCTAAATGCCAGTTGGCAGACACTTTGCTGCAGATGCTAATGCTCCTCTGTTCCGCTGTGGCTTCCTTCCACTTGTCACGTTGGATGCTGCTGATTCTGGTGCTGCTGCTGCTCTGTGGTGCCCCAGTGATCTGCTTCTCTAATGCTCTGCAGCTCTGTAGCTCTGTCCATGCGGCGGTCGAGTGGGCTGCAAGCCTCGCGCTCTCCCAAAACCGGTTCGGTTCTTTGGTACCGCAATATGAAATCGCCATTTACTGGTGGCTCCACATTTTCACGCCAGTCTACGGTGAGCCCGGCCACGACACAACCACGTCCACGTTCACGTTCACGTCCAGCACCGCTCGATATGACCAATTTGTGCTAGAGCCAGTAAATATTTGAGAAAGTCTCCCACCGACAACACCAGTTCCCCATCCCCATTCCCACCCACCCGGCAATCGATTCGATTGAGTCGACAACGTAGGTTGGCCTACACTGTCAGAAAAGAGCACACTGCAGTTTCGGTTCGGTTTAGTTGTTCTACACTGACAGAAACTGTCACAATAAAACGAGTATTTATTTTTTGTTTATTCAGCAAGACACCAGAGACACTTTCCCCGCCACGATGGCGGACAAAACCAAGGACAAGCCCAAGGAGACGACACCTCAGCCGCAGCCAAAGCCAAAGCCAAAATATGAGCCCCGTCCGGTGGAGAAGACCAAGGATCCGATCATCTCGCAAATCGGCGACTTTCGCCGCTATCAGCTGTTCTTTTTCCTGATTGTCGTGCTCTGCAAATTCGGCACTGGATGGCACACTCTCGCCCACATATTCCTGGCCGCCCCCACGCCCCTGAAGTGCCTCACCGAGAATGTGACGGATCCGTGCAGCAAGGACTGCAACCAGACGGAGTTCGACACCAGCCTCTTCAAGACGACAATCATCACCGAGTGGAATCTCATCTGTAAGGACAAGTCGCTGGCCAGCCTCTCCCAGTCCATCGTGATGCTCGGCATCATGATCGGGGGCATGTCTTTCGGCATGATAGCGGATCGGTGAGCATATTAAACATCCGGGAATCGGAATCAGAATCGGAATTGGTATGCAGTATGGAATATAATGTAATCTCCCGTTCACAGTTGGGGCAGGCGGCCGGCGTTTCTTCTCTGCTGTTTCATGCAGCTGATCACGGGACTGATTGTCTGCCTTTCGAAGTGGTATTGGTTCTACTGCTTGTTCCGGTTTCTGGTTGCCGTGGCCACCGGCGGCACCATGACCGTCAGGTGGGTTCTTCCATCACTTGCTTAACCATTCATCCTCATCCTCATCGATTATCCGCTTTAGCTTTGTGCTGCTCATGGAGATCATCGGCCCCAAGAAGCGGGAGCTGATCGGCATCCTCTATCAGATCCCCTTCAACATCGGGCACGCCTCGCTATCGCTGTTCGCCTACTACATACGGGAATGGCGCTGGTTCCAGTTCAGCGTGACGATATTCTCGGTGGTATTTGTGATCTACATATGGCTGGTGCCCGAGTCGCCGCGCTGGCTCTTCACCACGGGCCGTGTGGACAAGAGCGTCAAGATTCTGGAGCGGATTGCCAGGCACAATCGAGCGCCCACCGATACCATTAAGGCGGAAATGGAGGCCGCCTACGCGGTACTCGCCAGCAGGCAGCCGGCCAAGAAGGGCAACGTAACGGACCTGTTCCGAACGCCCTACATGCGGCTGAAGACGATTGCCATGGCCAACGATTGGCTGGTGGTGTGCATGGTGTACTACGGCACGGCCCAGTACATAGCCAAGCTGGGCGGCGACATCTTCCTCAATGTGCTGATCGCCGCCCTCCTGGGCATACCCGGCACGCTGCTCTGCGTGGTGCTGACCAAGTACCTGGGCCGCAAGTTGACAATGATGCTGTCCAATGGACTGAGTGCCATCGGGCTGCTGCTGCTCGTCTTCCTGTACAAGTCCAGCGAGATAGTGCAGGTGTCCTGCGCCACGGTGGGTCTCTTCGGGGCCTCCATTACCTTTCCGAACGTTTACCTGTACGGGGCCGAGCTCTTCCCGACCGTGGTGCGATCGAACGGCATGGGCCTCTGCTCGATGGTGGGCCGCATCGGCGGCCTTTTGGCCCCCATGATCAATGAGTTGGATGTCTATGGGTCTTGGATAACGCCCCTCATCTTTGGCGTCGCCTCCGTGCTGGCCATGCTGGGGACGATCGTGTTGCCGGAGACGCGGGGCACGCCACTGCCGGAGACACTGGAGGATGGCGAAAACTTTGGCCGCAAGTCGCAAAAAGCCCAGACCTAAACCTAGGCATTTCTCTCAGTGCAAAATCTCTACACAAATACCGTTTAACTGCGCTCAAAAATTAATAAATTTCATTTGAATTAAAAGATTTGTGGAATTTGATATGTCAGTCAGAGTTAAGTGCCGCTGCTCCCAAGCCCAGTCCCCAGTCACAGTCACAGTCCCAATTCCCCAGCCCCATTGCAAGTGCCTCGTTATAGACAAAGTCAGCGGCAGAACCAGAGGCACAGGCAGAGACACCTCAAAGCCTTTCGTGTTTGCTGTTCAACCAAAAACAAAACAAAACAAAAATAAAAATAAAAACAACAACAAACAGAAGAGAAAAAAAAAAATTGAAAAATCTAGCAAAATGCAAAAGGTAATTACCGTAAAATAACTTCCATTTCGTGATTATTAAAACTGGGTTAGCAGCCCGAATTCGGTACTCCACGGCACTGCTAACTGGCGACTGTTAATGCGATCTCCTCTGCGACTGACTGGCGTTTTTTGGTTTTTGTTTTTGTTTTTAATGTCGTGGTTGGTGCAGCAAAAAAAAAAAGAAAAGAAACCAGCCTCCAATTCCACTTTTGGCCAAAGGTAACGGGCAGCTAAATGGGAACTTTGCATGTGAGCCCATCGATAACACGTGCAGACAGTCCATGTATGGGATACATACTTCTAGATATTTCAAGCCAGTGATATCCTGGATACTGGACCCCAAATAATTGGGCAAATATATATAGAATTTAGGGTTGAATAACCCCATAAACATTGGATTTAAGACACCAATTCATTGGGATGGGAATGTCACTGAACGACACACTCAAAGCCGATGAAAGGGCGCATCCATTAGGTCACTTTCCGCTGATGTCCATAACAATTATCGCGGACCATCTCATCGCACCATCTACCCATCTCCCTGGAGCTGCTGGCCTGACCTTGACAAGAGCGCGTAAACCGGCTGACAAAAGGCACCACTCAAGGTTAATATTCATTGTCAACATTGGGCACGCCTCATTTATATGCAACACTCGGTGCAGGCACTGCAACCAGGCCCTGTCCGCTGATTCCCAGTCAAATGTCAGCAGACCAGAGTCGCCAGTCAACCAGTCAACCAGTCGACCAGTCGTCCAGTCAGTCCAGTCCAGTCCAGTCCATTCGGCACTTGGCTACATGCAGCGGCTCTCATCCTTCGATGTTCCATCGCCACTCAGCCTGAAGCTGCTGTTGCAGTTGCAGTTGCTGTTGCAGTGGAGCCGGCGGCTCACTCAATCAGATTCGGACTCTGGACTCTGACACGGGACTCGGACTCGAACTCGGAGTGGGGCGAGTTTTTAGCGTCTTCAGCGCTTGGCAGCTTGTCATGTCAGACGTACGAAAACTGTCAGAATTCGAGGAGTTGTCTTCCCCTGCAATATCCCCCCTCCACGAAACCAACTGAAGCCAACAGACCCGACGACTGCCGCTGCCGGCGTCGCATACTTAATCAGCGGCGGCGCGTCTTAGTGATAATTACCAGACATTTTTGCAGCTCGACGATGCCGCCTCCTGTAGATGTTCGCTGTTGTTTAATGAATTACAAGTGCCGCGCTTCAATGTTGTGTGCCCTGTTAATTATTCATTGGGCGCCCCCTCTGCTCCGGATCCTCCTTCGCATCACATCCAAAACGATTTGTAGATACGCGCGCATACAAATAAATCGTTTGGGCATTAAATACAGGAAAACTGCGACACCGCAGCAGCCATATACACTGCTTGAAGGACCGTTAAACTTAGTCCTTTCCTCACTTACTCTATGGCAAACAATATAAAATCCAGTGCTGCTCGTGGCACATCAATTAGCCAACATTATGAGGCAACAAAACGGAGTTCAAGAGATGGGAAAGTGTGTCCGGTTGCACAGATGATAATTACCGATTTAAATTATGAGCAAATGGTTGTGCCAGTCAGCTCATGCTCGTGGCCATAGCTTTGAGGATTAGGCAAAGGAAAAAAGCTGCCACTTGGGCAGAGTGGAAAAGGCAAAAGGCAAAAGGAAAAAGGAAAAAAACCGAGACTCAAAAAGGCACAAAGCAGCAACATTTTGGCAACCGCAGACGGGCAACAGACCCCATTTAGGTTCAAAAGAAGCCAACCGACAAGATCCGAGGCGAGGCGAGGCGAGACGAGACGAGAAGAGGCTCTCTCTGCTTGGCCGATCATTATCTAAGCCGCATATCCATTTGCGATTACCGAGGAGCAGCAAGAGCTGCAGCTTGAGGATGAGGCTGAATCGTGGGAGTATCTCTAGCTGTGACTCCGTCGCGTCGCTGGGGCTGTCTGTACCGTCTTCGGTCTGTGGCAATGCGGCACAACGTGGTGGCCAGACGTGGGCGCATAAAACAGACAAATGTCAAAATGACGCGCTTTGTTGTTTATCATTTTTACCGCAAGCTCCAACAGCCCCAACAGCGGGATGAGAGCCGCTGGAGATTGGCGGGGCTATAAAGCAGCAGCAAAATGCAATTAGTATTCAAATGTAGACGCGCCAACGAGCACGATGCCAAAACGAGTCGTCATCATCAGCTCTGGAACTTTTACTTGGACAACGACACACAGCGACTTTTGTCCGAAGCACTGGAAAACTGGTGAGCTGGCGAACTGGCGAACTGGAGGCCGCAAAGGAGAGCGGCGGCCCTCTTTACATGCTGAAAAATGTCTAGGCTTTTGTGGCTCAGAATTCGCCGTAATTTAGCGCACGCATTTTGCATTTTAAGTGTGTCGACGAATGCGATGGGACTATGGGGTACCCGGTCCCGTCCCACTTCTGATTAATTCCTCAGCCCGGGCGCTACAAATTCGTTTGACTAATTGCGGCTTTAGGAGGGGCCATGCTCTTGCTCTTGCTTCTGGCTTCTGGCCTCAGTCACAGTCACCAGTCGCCAGTCGCAGTCGCAGTGCCGAAGAGGATTTCCATGGAACACCTTATCGGCCGCAATTAAACGTGCCGTCCAGTCAAACGATTTAATGTATGATTTCTTTCAAATCATATCTACGTGACTGTGACTCAGCCTTATCAGCATGAACCAGGCCTCGACTTCATCTGGATTCCCATCTCTAGCCGCAGCCACAGCCGCAGCTCGAGCTGCAAACTCATTAATGACAGAAACCCCGGGCGGCCGGCCTCTCAGATGATTCAATATGGCTGCAAGTTGCATATTAAGCAGCTAGGAGCTAGTCCCGTCATCGAATATGGTTACCACAGGCACAGCCACAGCCACAGCCCGGGCACCAGCACCAGCTTCAGCCCCATCCATGCCAACTTTTCTGTTATATAACCATAAATATAAAAAAAAGGAAAAGAAGAAGAAAAAAACACAAAAAGCAACACAAAATGTGTCGTGGGCGCTATCAAACGGCTCCACGGACAGATCCAAACAGTTGTAAAATTAACAACCGAGTTATGACAACTGCCAGCAATTAAAATTGACAATTGATATGACAGACAGCCTGGCTGGATGGCTGGATGGCTGAATAGCGGGCGTGCGCGCTGGGGGAACGTCGCGACGTGAATAAAAATTTCCAATAAAAACGCATTGAATCGTCGAGTAATGGATGACTGAGCGGCTGACTAGCTGACTGACTGTCCAAGGAGTGGTTCGTTCGAACGGGCGGAGGCTGTGCGATGCATTACAGGATGTCTCAAATGCAACGTATCGAAATTACGTATCGCATAGGATCGATAATAAACTTAGATCTTATGATAACTTACTATATTATTACCAGAATAAATTAAAGACGGAATAAAGTAACATATCAAAATCAGAAAACCCAGCAAAAAGCTCAATAAAATTAATATTTTCAATAATTTTCCAAATAACGAGAACGAAAGTGTGTGGGCTGTTAGCTCGCTGCTTACTTAACATGCCCCTGTACCAGCTGCAGAGAATTTTATCTTCCTCTGTTAACAGTGCTAACAGCGACCGATCATCAACACTTTTGTGTGATCTTTCGCTGTTAGCTCGCTGCCTCTCTGACCGACTGCAAAAAGGGAAAACAAATTACAATAACAATTCACCAGCTGTAAATATAACTGCTATGACAATAAAAAAAGTAGTAACTATGAACATGCATTCATTTGTAAATATGTACATATGTACATTCATATGTAAATATGTAAATATATATGTATGTATTTATCTTGAGCATTTACCGAAGGGTATTGAATTTTCACTATTTTGTATGGTGAAAGTTTCGATAATTTGTTACAATTTCGGCTCTCTGCCCATCTGCCCATCATCAGAACGGAACACGAAACGTCACATCCTTTGGTGTTTTTTGAGCGCCCAGGACTGCCAGACTCGTCAGCTAGTTATCGGCAAACTACATCTTTATAGACCTCCTGGACGGCACTACCAATGCCGCTGCACGTAACTTTTAATTGTGAAGTCCCGCTGTAGCTGCATGTGCTGCCCAAAATGTAATTGCAGCAATTTGTGGCAGATCTACACGAACTGCGGCCAGATCCGTTGCATGGCGAGCCATTTACGTTGCACAAATATGACAATTGGCGGCATTATTAAATTGTGCTACGTGCGCTAAATCTGCCGACATCACAGAGAAACAGGGACAGAGGGCGAAAGGTAGAGATAGCGACCGAAAAAGGGCACACTGTGTAGCCTGGTAGGGCCAAAACAGGTGAGCCACGTTAATACTGTTACTCCCGCTGTTGTGCTAGTTGTGGTGGGGGGAACGGGCCAGGTCAGAGGCAGGAGGACAGGACAGCGACAGGGACAGTGACAGGGACAGCGACAGTTGCTGATAGCGCACTCAATTTGCATTCGGACGAGCAGGAATGGCCAAACCTGGTGGAATGACTGCCAGCCAATTACTTTTTATAACTTTCTAGCTGGCACTTCAATCTCGTCCAGCAATTGGTTTGGCCAAAGAGTTGACGAGGGCTCTCTGGCAGATGCGTAGTCAGTGCCAGTGTCCGGGAGCCGCCACACACATTAACATAATATTACGAGAGGGCTTTAATTAAAAAACCAAAGGCTACAAACCCTACGAGTATTTTGTCTCCCAAATGTTTTCCCCTGTCCCTGCCAACAGTTCCACAAAGTCGTTG